GCCAAATAAAGTGCTTTTGCTTTCGCCTAGAAACACACAGCGTCTGCTTCAACACTAACTCCGGTTACTGAAACCACGCCTTCTTTCTTTGCGTGAACATTTGGGCGGCATTATGCTAATATTTCCACATAGTGAGGTAGATATGTGGGGGCGTGTTAGAACGAGCCGTTTTAGGGGGGCGTGGCAGAGTCTTAACTTTGATAAAGAATATCTCTTTGGTTTTGAGACTTTATTCTTTGCAACTTCAGGGATCTTATCTATGCACAATCAGCTTGTAACACTCCAAAGAGAAAGGAAAACTTGAAATCGAATCATATGACCCCTTTAATGTCCTGAAATGTGAGTAATACTTGCTTGTTGATTTTTTGTTAAGGACACAGTTTTTAATAAAGGATTGCTTTTTCCTCTCAGGATGGAGTTGGTGCAAAGATAGCAGAGAAAATCGATGAGTTTTTAACGACGGGAAAACTGCGCAAGCTGGAAAAGGTATTTGAGTGCATTAGAAATGTATGTTTTATAGTTGATTTAACCGTTGAGAAAGCATTAACATATACGATGTGCATGTGAGAAACAGATCTGTGTAGATTGTGACATGTTTGTGGTCTTCGTCCTGTAGATTCGCAGTGACGACACAAGCTCCTCCATCAACTTCTTAACCCGAGTGACTGGGATCGGGTACGACGCCCTTGATTTCAAGAGAACAATAACAATAGAGTTGTAAAACTCAATTCACACTCATTCTCTTGTTTTTTTTAGTCCTGCTGCAGCCAGGAAGTTTTATGATGAAGGCGTCAGGAACTTAGAAGGTTAGTATATACGGTTAGTTTGCACATATATTTATTTGCCGTCACACGCATGTGTTTTAAGTCTCGCCTGATGTTTTAGATCTGAAGAAGATCGAGCACAAACTCAACCATCATCAGCAGATCGGGTTAAAGTAAGTCTTGATTCGAACAGATAAATTAGTGAATTGTTTTACGGCAACAGTAATGTTCGTTTGGCTTCGTGTTAGTGCTAATCTAGAGCAGGGGTTTCAATCTTTTAGATGCTACAGGCCCCAAAATATGATCATCCTCCTGTGAGGAGCCCCATCATGAAATTTAAAAGGCAGATATATATTTTCATATATAAAAACATTAATATTATAAATATGTGTTAAGGCTGGGTTCTGCTATGTGATTCTGTTAATTAAAATTATTATACATATATAGTTTCTATTGTTAGTGGTTCTATTGTTATTTTTTCTGCTGTACTTATATTTACATTTTTAAATAATTTATTTGAATCAATTTATTAATTATTTTTTATTTTAATCAATTTATTTTAGTCATGTAAAAAAACATTACATTCATTTTAATCAACATATTTATTTAGTTGGATAATATTTGTGTATATATATATATATATATATATATATATATATATAGATATATATATATATATAGTCATGTAAAAAAAAAAAATTATTGTAATCAACATATTTAGTTGAGTAATATGTGTCTGTGCGTATACACACACACACACACATATATATATATATGTATGTGTGTGTGTGTATGCATTAGTGTTTTAGTTTATTTTTACATTTTTCTCTAAACCTTTTCTATGGAATATCACGCTTCGGACCCCTGATCTAGAGGACAAATGTTTTATTTGTGAATTATATTATTTCTAATGAATGCACTCTATTCTTTATTGATGATGTTTTTCATTTTAATGCTCCTGTCTTCATCTATTAAAGATACTTTGAAGAATTTGAGAAGAGAATCCCTCGTGCAGAAATGCAGATAATGGAGGTTGGAGTTTCTTCCAGTGATCTTCATGATTTATTTCTACAGATTTGTGAAGTCTCACTGTGTTTGCCTGATGTTTGCAGACTCTGATACTGAAGGAACTGGATGTGGTGGATCCCGAGTACATCGGCACCATCTGCGGCAGCTACAGACGAGGTTATCCATCGTTCTGATCCAGATATTTGACATCACTTATCACTTGTATGATCTAAATGTGTCATGATTGCATTTGTTAATGTTCAGGAGCAGAGTCGAGTGGTGATATTGATATACTGCTGACCCATCCGGACTTCACCTCTCAGTCTGAGAAACAGGTGAATGTTCAGTTTTATGGACTGGGTTATTTAATGCATGCAGTGTTGTTCCTCTCATAACTCCTGCTGTGATTTCTGTCCTGCAGCCCAAACTCCTTCATGCTGTCGTGGATCATCTGGAGTCCATCGGCTTCGTTACCGACATGCTTTCTAAAGGAGACACTAAGTTTATGGTGGGTCTCTGTCTG